CTTTTAATGTCTTCATAACACAACAAAATTATTATAAACCATTACCTCATCATGGCACAGTTAATAATTATAACATTTTTAATAATAATTTCCCAAAGAATCTATACCAGGATTATTTTTTTTAATTCAAAAATTCGTATGTTTGAAAGCTTTGAAAAGTGTAAAAAATCACTAAAACTGCAGTTATATATTATATTATATCTACTTCTTTTTTTACTTCTTATATCAAATAATTGGTTTGTTGGCACCTAAAATTTTAAAAAAGGTACAACATTTATATCAATGAATTAATCTGGGGAACAGCTTAAAAAAACCCTTTCATATTTAAAGCCAGGTATACTAACCACTAGAGTCTAGACCGAAGGTTGGTATCCAAAACAAAATTATGGAAATAATATACTACGGGATATTTTTTATATTAAACAAAACTGTTTATTATCCCGCTCGCGCGATTATATTTGAATTATATAGAAAAAAACAAAGAAAACTTTTTTCTATATCAGTAAATTTCCAACAAAAATAGTTTTTGGATATTTCAAGAACTTTAAGTAAGCCAGGACTTTTCCTGTTTACCATTTGGAAAGGGGGAAAATGTAGGCTCTATAAAATGTTTATTAAAATATTTCAAAAATTGGAACCCTACTCTTTAAAAATGAATAAGTCGAAAATGACTAATTGTCATAGCGAAAAAGCAACCACTAATAATTCTCTTTAAAAGCAATTTGTATCCCGAACATTTAGCAGTCAATTTCCATGTAAGATTGTCCCCTGAATTCGAAAAAGTCGCCAAAAGTTAAAAAAGTAGAACAGTTTTTGAGATATAGTCAATTTTCCATATAATATGGAGGTGACTATATCACAAAAACTGCTCTACTTTCTTAATTTTTGAAGAGATTTTCGGATTCAGGGAACCATTTTAGAAGAATTGGCTGTTAAATGTTGGGTTACCATGGTACCCCATGGTTAACCATGGTATAAGTGAAAAAGCAGTCACTAATAACTGTAGTAATTAGTCATTTTTGACTAATTCATTTTTGGAAATTAAATTTGAAATAATCATTAGTATAAAAATTACAAAACATATAGGTAAGTAATAAAAAAATTGATTCTCCTATAAACTTGTTGTTAGTTAGTCATGTTTTAGGAGCCGTCTAAAAAAATGAGCCCAATTTATTTGTTTTTTTTTTTAATTCCATAGAAATGTAATTAAATACAGCAGTGAAATACGAATTAATTATAAATGAAATGTATAAAATTGGCTCGAAAACTTCAAAATTTTCTAAATTTATGAGCAACCTTTAAAAGTTCATATTTTGAGCTGAAACTTTCAGAAACTTATGAGGCGCCGTTTGTCCGTAAATTATTTTTGCTATATATAAGAATATCTTTTATATATAAACTTTAAATTTCCTATATATATAGAAACTTTTTAGTTCAGATAATGCCGCTTGAGAATGAGGGCGCTTTGTGGTATTCAACTAAAAAGCACTGTTGCCAGAGTGTGCCAATGCAAAGTTTTGGTCAGTGTTTCCAACATAACTGATCTTCGGGCATATCTAGCGGAACAAAATGATAGCAAAAAGTATAGGATTTTAGTTTTTTTAAATACTTATAGCTAATATATTGATCGATTGGTCTATTTTTATTGAAGAAAACATGTCTCTTCTTTGGCCGTCTCTATTTCTCTAAATAAACACGGCTTCGTTTTTACTAATAGGTATTTAAAAAAACTAAAATTTCTTACGTTTTGCTTCTCTTGTCAGTTTATAAAAAAAAACAAAGAATTTTTTTTGAACTTAAAACCTAACCTAACCTTAAAGTTGTTCTCCTATAAATTTTGTAAAATGTGACTTGCAACCCCTGGTTTTTAGGTGGCGATAATTTGGCAAAAATCTCATACAACAAAATATCAAAAAAATTTTAAAATCTTGGTTTTCCGAAAAAGCTAAACCACGTCCAGAGAAATCTTAAAAATCGTTGCAGGAAGATAACGACCGACATATTATCAATACGTTAGCATTACTCGAAAAAATCGCGGATATCATAACAATTTATCCGCCAAATTGGCGTATAAACACAAGGAAGCGCAATCCTCCTGTTGTAAGGTGGCATCATCATCATCGGGAACGATGCTATAATATAAATCGTGACATTAATGAATAAACAACATTTTACTGATTTTTGTTCGCACACATTACAAATTATGCGGAGCATAATGGGCATGAATTGCTTATTACCACATATGCCCACCCAAGTGAGATATGTCTTTTATAGTTCCGACATTTGTAAATATGGATTAATTTTAAAGCTATATTTTAGAAATGTAATATGTTACGATTTTTATTACATTTGGATTTTCCAACAAATACCCAGTTGGTTCTTGACGCTAGAAGCGGTCGGACGCGTCAACTTGACGCGTCCGACCGCTTCTTTACGTTTGTATCGTATACGCTACTTAGGAGGGATCTATCTTGACGCCGTCAAGATAGATCCCTCCTAAGTAGCGTATACGATACAAACGTAAAGTACCAAAAACGAAACAAGGTATCCGGAAATATCGGTAATCGTTAATAAATAAATAAATAAACAAAGAAGTGCGAGAAGTTCGAAAAGTACAACAAGTGCGAAAATTATGGGATAACGCCGTAAAAGTGTGCAAGTGAATAAGTAATTAAGGCTAGGAACAACGGACAGCCCGCGAAAGACAAAGCATCAGGATTATAGCCTAATAATCAAGCTAAGTAATTTTTCTAATTGCATGTCTTACCGTATAATCGTGAAATGTTTATATAAGCATTTCACAATGTTGCCAAAAAATCTAAGAATTCTTTATTTGTCTCAAAAACTAAATTTTAAAAAAATAAGTGTTAAATAAACAACCTCATTTTCTCATGGTAGACAAATCATAAACAACCATTGAAAAAGGCGTAAGAGTAAATAAACCAAATCAAGCAAGAAGACAAAAATTTATATTATAAATAAGTGTTGTGTTTGAATAGGTAATATTGTATATGCATTTAGGGTTACAGCCATAAATCAATCAAAGCCAAATAAATACACAGAAGATAAGAAGAACGACCAACTCAATAGCCATTGCAGGCCATATGGCCGCATTCCATTACATACACTACAGGGCCGGCTTTATCTATTTTGTATATTGGTATTTACATTGAAGTGATTGATTAATTAATTAGTAAATTAATTGATTGATTGATTGGTATTGATATTATTGGTGTTGGTATTGGTATTGATATTAATATTATTGGTATTATAGATATTGATATTAATATTAATATTGATTGATTAATTGGTTAATTGGTATTGATTATTTGCATTAATTGGTATTAGTATTGTTATTGACTAATTGATATTTATATTGAATTTATGTGGATACTAATTTAACAATAAAATAAATAAGGAATATACAAGGTGGGTAGCCGATACTTGGCAGGAGGAATATCCACCAAGGGAGAGGGCACCCACGGTGTGCCAGGGCCGTCAACACTTCGCTACGGAAGACAAGACTCAGTATCACACAGGGGGGCAAACAAGTCAAAAGAGGTTACCAGGAACCTGATACTGACTCGGACAGAGATGTTCAGAAATACACCAACAAGGACAGGTTCTAGCAGCGTACTAACACTTCTACCCCCATTCATGAATCCCAATTGAATGGGGTTATTACTAAGGCCTAGGTTGAGGAGGATTCCGGATTGTACTTAGTTTTGGGTCAGTTCAATGTCCTCCAAAAACCCTTCCTAAACTGGACGTATGGCCCGACCCGGCTGACAAAAATCCGGGAGCGGCCTTAACCTTTGACTGTCATCCACGACCTCCTAGGGTGGATCTACCAGCCGGCGTAAAAACCGGATCCAACAACACAGGTAATGCTGTGATTTGGCGGGATACGCAGGAGAACCGAAAGGGGGTAAAATAACCCCGGAAGATTAGTGGAGGATAATATATTTGGGGCCTGCCATACGTTCCCATACTCGTACTCATACTTAAGTAGATACCAATGTAACATTAATCCACTTAAAAGTTTGGACAAAATTGCATTTTTTATTGTTTATTTTTACAATTAAATATTTCGGAGATAATAATTTAGAAAATTAATTAATACTTAATCGTAATATACCTATAGAATTTATAGTCTAAAAATTGTTGTGTATGATAAGTCTAGCTAAACATTATATGGTCACAATAGACAATTAAAAAAAATACTGTGGCCGGCAGTAAACTAGATTTAACGGATGAAGCATTAACTATTTCGGGTGGAGTGCCCATAAAACATTTTCTTTTATTTTACTGTGAAAAACTGCTTTTATATCGGATTCAAACGGTTGTTTGTTTGCCGCCAGTAATAAATATAGTCTATGTAAACTTCAGCCAACAGCAGGTGTTGGATATTATTGGATATTATTATACTATAAGTGTTGGATATTAACCAACCATTTTCAGATTAATTTTCTAAATAAATATCGACAAAATATTTAAAAGTAAAAATAATTAATATAAATAAACAAATTTTGGGTGAATTATTTTTGCATTGGTATCTACTCTAATACAAAACTTGAATGTTTTTTAAAAATTTTGTGGATTAAAATATATTTTTTCTTCTTGTTACGCCTAGTACTACTTTTTCCCTTTAAAATCCTTTTTCAATTTTTTCAATATTCTTTATTTTTTTCGAGAAATCTTTAGTTGAAATTAATGGGTTTGGTTTGGATTCAAATTTGATTTCTCGAAGAGAAAAAGTATTTCAAATAGCAAGAGTAGTATTTTTAGATGGCATAACGAGTTTTGTGGTAAAAAACTATTTCGTGATGTTACTTTTGAGTAAAAATACTTCAAAAACCGGACAAAATCACCCGCATTTTATAACAAACGATGTTCTCCTTAGATCAAGAAGTGGTGTTCCAATGTCGTGACGAAGGCCCGCTCAGAGCAAGAGTAAAATGGGTGAGAGAGAACAACCGACCGCTTCCTTCCGGTTCCAGAGATATTAACGGAAGATTGGAAATGCCAGAAATTAAAGTCGAACACGGCGGAACTTACATATGTCAAGTTTTTGGCTCTTATTCTCCATCGCAAGGAGAGCAGACCATCCCTGTACATTTGAAAGTGAACAAATGTAAGTATAACATTGTTAACTGATCTTTTTCGTGTAAGGTTGTTAATTGATTTTTGTTGTTTGATTGCTCTGTCCAGTCGGATTTAGACCTTTTAAGTACAATAGCTTTTATACGAGTTTATATGAAGCAGGTACTATACTCAATAATTTTAACTTTAACATAATTGTCATGAAAATATTTTTTTCTTAATTTTCTGCCTAATAAATAATAATGTTAAGTAAATAATAATAATATTACCTAAATGTTAATATGATTTATTTATTTTTTCTTATTTTTGTTTTTGTTTTCAGGGGCACGACCACAACCACCACCACGTCCAGAATGTGCCAGTCCCTTCCAAACTCGTTGTGCTAACGGGGAGTGTATTAATAAATCTCAAGTTTGCAATAATGTATGGGATTGTACTGATGGCTCAGATGAAAGTAGATGCAGTAAGTTACATAATATATTTATTAATAATCATTTTATTATCACCCGTTAAGCTTGTCATAATTTAATCCAGGGCTTATTTTAGCCTATCTTCGTGTAAGTTATTTTTAATCTATATATTTTTTAGATCCTGACGGTTCATGCGATCCCAACGAGTTCACCTGCAGTAACAAAAAATGCGTCTTGGTGACATGGGTGTGCGACGGAGACGATGATTGTGGTGATGGAAGCGACGAACAAAGTTGCCCCGTGGCGCCTCCAAACAGCACGTGCCAGAATCACCAGTTCGAATGCGCCAACAAGGCCCAATGCATACCCAAGGGATACCATTGCGATATGGATAACGACTGTACCGATGGAAGTGACGAATGGGGATGTGGTAAGTGTTTTTCAACAATATTTTAAGCATAGATTAAAACAGTTCTAGGTCGAATAAGATAAAAAATTGACCTAGTTAAGTACCAATATATCTCTTGTTGTTTATAGGTAAGCAATTTTTTATGTTTTGTTCACATCTAAACGTTTTTTCCTAGCCTCTCCTGTTATCTCAAGACCTCCTCAACCAATGGTTACATTGCCACCAGGGGAAACTTTCACAGTAAATTGTACAGCCGTCGGTGTTCCAGTACCACAAATAGTGTGGCGTTTGAATTGGAAACACATTCCCGAAAAATGTTCATTCACCAACGATAAAGGTACTAGCGTTTTGACGTGTCCAGATATTCAGGAACAAGATCAAGGAGCATATTCTTGCGAGTCCATTAACATTAAGGGTTCCAAGTTTGCTACACCCGATACTATTTTGATTGTGCAAGGGGAGAAAGTATGTAGACCTGGTTACTTCAACGCAGCAGCCAGGGATGCTACTGAGTGTATTAAGTGTTTCTGTTTTGGTCATGCTGTTACATGTAGATCTGCAGATCTATACATATTCCAGTTACCAGCACCTTTCGCCACCTTAAACCTATTGGGTGTAAGTGTGAACCCCAATAATGAAGATGTTCAAGTTAGAGATGAACCAATTTACAGAGGCGTAAAACCTTCGTTAAATGCAGTAGGTCGCAATGGAGTACAAGTATCGTTACCACCTCATATTCAATCCGATCAGGACAATTTATACCCTTACTTTACAATGCCTGAAAACTATCACGGACCACAACTTAACAGCTACGGCGGATATCTCAGATATAACATCGAGCATTCAAACAGAGGTTATCCTAGTAGAGGCCCTGATGTTATTCTTTCTGGTAAGGGTTACACCCTCCTACACGAATCCAGACAAGAAAGACCAAGAGAATTCGTCACCACGCGTATGGAAGTCAGATTCTTTGCTGGGGAATGGATGAAAGTTGAAAATGGACGTCAAAAACCCGCTACAAGAGAGGAAATCATGATGACTCTTGCCAACGTAGAGAACATTCTATTGAAAGTGAAATACAACGAAGAAGGCCAGTTGAACACTACCATCAGGAATATAGAGATGGACTCAGCTGCTTCTCCAAACTTAGGACTTGGTGCAGCCAGCTATGTTGAGGAATGCAGCTGCCCAGCTGGTTATACTGGACATTCTTGCGAGGTAAGTTATCTTTTTAGTTTGTCTTCTATCCAAATGGTAGTCATTTCAGTTTGTCATCTTTTTGTCTAGTCATTATAATTTTTGATTCTCCTTATTTAAGGTCGTCATCTTTTTAGCTTGTCTTAATTCTATATTGTCCTAATAATTTAAGCTTCTCTAGATTAAAACTTATCGTCATTTTGGCTTGTCACCATTTCAGCTTCTTTGCATTTAAGCTTGTACAAGGACGTCCTCCTTTTAGCTTGTCATTATTTAGATTTGTTTTCATTTTAACTTGTTTACTGTGACATTTTCTTTAGTTGTTTGAGCCAGTTTCCGGAAAGTTTCTTAAAATTTGCCCGAAAGTAACAAGAAGATGTTTTCGTCCGTTTTGCGGCATATGCGTCAGAAATAGGACCACACTTCGACGGCAACAACTTTCACCAACCATTATTTTTAAAAACAGAAGGGAAATTTTACAGTTTCTTCTCTTGTTTTTCTAAGAAATGGTTTCTAACAACTTGTCCAAATGTTAAAAAACTTGTTCTAGAAACAGTTTGTAGAATTTTGACAAAACATGTTGTGCAACTATTTCTGACATGTTTCTAGCGGATTGCGAGAAATGCTAGCCCCTTTTGGTTTCCGTCACATTTACACTAACGTTACAAAAATGTCATCAGGAGAGTAGTTTCTTTCAAATTTCCACATGGGTTATTGGGCTGTTTATTATTTTAGCCTCATCATTTTTCTTTGTCAATATTTCTCAATATTTTAGCTTATCATTATTTTATCTTATCACCATTTTAGCTTGTCATATAGACAAGCTTAAATATATTAAGCTTGTCCTCATTGAAGCTTGTCCTATTTTAATTAAGCTTGCCATCATTTTAACTTGTTGCCCTTTTAGCTTCTCCTCATTTAAGCTTGTCCTCCTTTTTGATTTATCATCATTTTACTTATTCATTATTTTAGCCCAATTATTTTTGTTTCTCCTTTTTTAAGGGTATCATTCTTTTTGTTATCGTTTTAGTTTATCCTCTAAAATTGCCATCATTTTAGCTTATCCTTATTAAGGTTTATCGTACTTTTAGCTTGTCAATATTTTAGCCTTTCCTCATCTAAGCTTCCCATTATTTTAGCACGTCATCAATTTAAAACTATAATTATTACCTACTTTTTGCTGCAGAAATGTACTGATGGTTTTGTAAGATCCAAAAATGGCCCATGGTTAGGCCAATGCATAGAAGTGACTCGTCAAGAATGCCAACCAGGCGAATACGGAGACCCATCAAGAAATATACCATGCGAACCTTGCCCATGTCCATTCACCAACCCGGGACAACAGTTTGCAAGGACTTGTTCGCTGCATTCTGACGGCGATGTTCTATGTCATTGCCAACCTGGTTATCAAGGCAGAAGATGTGAAGTTTGTGCACCTGGGTACCAGGGTAATCCCTTGAGTGGTGGTACCTGTACTCCTGAGACACCTAGAACGTGCAGTGCTGGGGCTATACAAACTGCCGATGGACGTTGTGAATGCAAGGTATAGTATTTTATTAGGTCTTAGCTGATCATTTTTATTACAACGTTTTTGTTATCTTTATCACGCTTGAACTTTACTAATACAATAACGTAAGTATTTTGGCTTATTAACATATACCGAAAAAATATATAAAATCTTGTTAAAATAAGTGATAAATATATTAATTTCTTTAAGCTGTTCACCACCGGACCAACTTGTTCTGAATGTAAGCCAAACTCCTTCCATCTCAGCAGCAATAACGATTTTGGATGTATACCTTGTCACTGTATGGACATTACAGGTCAATGTTCAAGTTCCACATGGTTCAGAGAAAAGATCTACTCCCAATTCGCAAGATCCAATCAAGAATTTAATCTCGTCGAAAAAGAAGACCTTGGCTCACCTTTGCCTGTAGATTTCAACGCTACAAACAGAGCCATTACATACGGTGCGTTCCAAAGTTCGAAGACGTACTATTGGTCGCTACCTTCGAGGTATCTAGGAAACAAAATAACTGCTTACGGAGGCAAATTGCGGTACAAATTGAAACATAGTCCGGTTCCTGGTGGCCAATCGTCCAGAAATTCAGCTCCTGATGTTTTATTGGTCAGCGCTGATAACAATATAAAGTCGATGTATTTCTCTAAGGAACAACCTGATCCGTCCAACCAACCGCAAACGTTTGAAGTACCGATGTTTGAGCAGTACTGGCAAAGACACGATGGACAAAATATTAACAGAGAGCATTTATTGGCGACTTTGGCGGATTTATCCGGAATTTACATCAAGGCTACTTACTACACAAACACCAGAGAAGCTTCGTTGATAGAAGTATCTCTAGAAATCGCAGTGGATAGAAATACGGGTCTTGAAAGAGCATATGCAGTAGAACAGTGCCAATGCCCTGCGGGTTACAAAGGATTATCTTGTGAAGATTGCAACGTTGGTTACAGCAGGATCATAAGTGGGCAATGTAAACCATGCGAATGCAATGGAAACTCGAACGAATGCGATCCAGATTCCGGGGAGTGCAAGAATTGCAGAAATAACACCACTGGAGACTCTTGCGAGGATTGTTTACCTGGTTATGATGGCGATGCTTTAGTTGGCGATTGTAGACCTTCTGGAGGACCACAGATTGGATGTAGATGTGATCCCAGAGGATCTTTGTCTACTGATTGCTCTTATGGCACCTGTAGATGCAAGGTAAGTTTAAAAGAGTTAGCCTGACAATATCTCATCATAATCTTTCCAGAATAATGTCGAAGGGCCAAACTGCGATACTTGTAAGTCAAATACGTTTGGTCTAAGCGCTAACAAATCACAAGGGTGTGATGTTTGCTTCTGCTTCGGTATCAACACTTACTGCGTTGAAAGTAACTTATACGTTGAGCAAATACCGAGTCAAATTTTCGATGAGAGCCAACACGGATTTATCCTAACAGACATGTAAATATAACCAACATATCGCAAGTAACATTCTAAAATTTAATATTTAGGGATCGTCTTGATAGAATTAACTCCAACTTCCAAATTTACCCGGCTATGAATGAAATTTCCTACACGTTTGGACCAGGTGAAAGAACCACGTGGTTTTGGTCGCTACCATCACCCTTTACAGGAAACCACATAACTTCTTATGGAGGTAGATTGGAATTCACTCAAAGATACACTCAATACCCTGGAGGAAGACACGTCCAAGACAGAGACGTCATCATCAACGGCCGCAAAATATCTTTGATCTGGACCAACCCTAATGAAAAATACGACAATAACAGAAATGTATTTTAACTTGATATACCCGGCATTTTTACTTTTAATAACCATGTTTATTTTAGCTTGTCTCGGTCGTCTTATTACCAGAAGGAGGCTGGAGACGCATTGACCAAACTGGAACCACCATGGCGTCTCGTGAAGATCTTTTGACAGCTCTGTCAGATATTGATTCTATATTAATTAGAGCTTCGCAGTCCAGCAAGACCGAATCCACATTTATAAGGTTTGTGTCTTCTTTTTAAAAAGTTCATCCTAAAACATCAAAACTGCCAACAAAAAGCACAAGTTAAATTAAAAGTTTAGGATATTTTAGACAGTTCTAGATTAACACCAAAAAAATGCATAAAAAGTCCTGAAAATTTATTTTTTTTAATTTTTTCTTTGGTCCGTTTTTCGCGGCCGATATACAGGGTGTTATAAAAAAACACTTTGTAAAATCTAAAGATCCTATCGGTATCGGTAGGTAATTTGGAACAAAAAATGTTTTATACATTTTGGTCAAATCTGAATTTTTGATTTTATTAAATATTAACGATAATGAAATTAAATTGTAAATCCAACAACATTGCAGCGATTAACAAAAACACGTGGAAATTGCCATGCATGAAAAAAAAACTAAATAACATTACCTTGCATTTTTTAAGCATTCCCAAACACAACATTCATACTCAGTGGGTATTACTCACTAAAGAAATACATATCAATATTTAACAGAAATTCTAATTTTGAATTTTAACTATAAATCATTTTTTATGGTGTTATTAATGGATAACAATCAATTAACCAATTAATTGTTGTGATAATCCTAAAAATTATTTCATAAGATGAAACATTAAACATTCTGTACATCAGACCTAATTTATATAATTAAGGTAAACCTAATATTTTAAAGTTTAAAAACTCAATACCTTTTTAAATATTAAAGGTCAATTATTTTTAACAATTTTCTGGGATTCCCCACCAAGATGGTGCGCGACTTCTGTGATACCCTGTATTAAGTTAATTTGACAATAAAAGTTTGAAAGAGAAAAAAATAAAAAAGTAGTACCTATTATTAGTCATTAGTCAATTTAATAATAAAAATCATTTTTTCCAAAAACCAAGTATTTTTAAGAACGAAATGCAAATCCAATTTATTTTATCATAAATTCAGTATCCTATCCTCTAGACCATACGGGATATACTTATATAAAAGCTTTTATATTAAACAAAACTTATTATTAAGTTTTTATAAGTAGCTCAAGTGGGCTTTGCTGCGCGCGCGGAGTTGTGCAGCTACTTATAAAGCTTATAATAATATTAATTTTTTTCAATATAAAAACGTGGCGTGCCAATTATTTTATGGTTATTTATATCATGCATTACGCCATCTAATCAACGTTGTCAAATAGCATTAAAATTGTTATTTTATCAGTTTTTATTAAGCAAAAGTTGTTCCAAATGGATATCCTAGCTAGATTTACTAAAGTGTTTCCATATCTCCCTGTATAGCAAATTTTGTACAAGTAGGTATCTATTACACAAATATTCTCGAGTAGGTATTTTAGGAAAATTAATTTAGCGTTTGTTAGTTTAAAAATTAAAATATCATCAATACATTTTCTTCTGTCACATACATTTTTTAATTGTAGTCTCTTGCAAACCAATTTTTTATATCCTGCTACCTTAACGGAAATTTCCATTATAAACATTAAAAATAAAATATTTTGAACCCGTTCAATTTTATCGATGAAGATGTTACCCCTATCTGAGATCGTACCAATGAGGAGTATAGGATATTGTACCAGCTAACACTGTTAAAGTCACGCGTACTCAAAAGTTTGTTAGCTTTATTTGTGATTGTTATTATTTTAGCATTTCATCATTTTACCCATTATATATCCTTTAAAACCTCATATTATTATACAACTTAAACCCTTAAATTTTGTCCTAAATTCTTTTAGTGACTTGGTCTTGGACACAGCTGTCGAACAGCCAACAACCAAAGGCAGAGCGACCTACGTGGAAAAGTGTGGCTGCCCTAAAGGTTACAGAGGAACTTCCTGTGAATCTTGCGCTTCCGGTTACTACCGCGACGTGAATGATTACAGTCAACCTTTGGGATCGTGTAAAAGGTGTCCATGCAACGGAAACGAGCAAGGCTGCTCTGTGGGACCAGATGGTGTAGTTCAATGTCATTGCAAACCAGGTTACGGCGGACAACAGTGCTTACCAGGTAATAATATATATAGAGTGCACCTATATTTTTTGCATGGTTTTTGCATGATTCAATTTTTTATTTTTAATACGCAGGAACTTTAGTTTTGGAGCCGACTTTTATAGTGCGACTTTATGGATCGAAAGTAAATTTCACGTGTACATACTACGGCGATTTTAATTACGAATTCATTGTATCGCCCCCGCGTTTAAACTTGAACCCTACTATATTGAAGGATAAACTTAAAACGCAACTTCTATACGAGCTAGAGGTCAAACAGTGCCTGGTCAATGTAACGTGTTCTTTGCTATATAAAAACGGCACCTTTTTCCAACATGTGACTTCGCAGTTATACCCAGGTTTGAAACAACGAAGTATCATCGAGTAGTACATGTTGCTGCATGTCTGCAAAATTCTTGTTATTAGTTAGTTAGATCGACGTAGAATCATGAAATGTTCAACGATATTATCACATTGTTAATTAACTTATACTAATACTAATAGACATTGCTTTATGTTTTGTTGTAGGAAATCGTGAAGATTTACATACTAAAACTATTCATTAATACAAAATGTTTACTTTGAAATCTCTTACAAAAATAACAATTTTAGGACCAGCAAATGACCCAGGTCCTATTATAATAACTACCCCGGCTCCCCCTACAATCTTAGTCAGCATTTCTACCCCAGCAATTGCTATTTTCGCTGTGGGTGGTACAGTGAGATACAATTGCTCGGCACAATCAGTGCAATATCCTAGAGTAATAAACTCTGTTGTAATTACAATAAAAATATTTAAAAAAATATTTTTTAGACCGTCAAAGTTATATGGAACAAAGAAGACACACCATCTCTACCGGATAGAGCCATTGACAATGGTAAAGGTATTTTAACAATCACAGACCTTAGGGAAACCGATTCTGGAAACTACATTTGCGAAGCCTATGATGGTTACAACATTGTTACCAGTCATGTAAAACTTGTTGTTGGAGGTAAGTTATCTATATCTTTAGTGAATATATTTGTACTAATATAATTTGTCAGTTTTCTTGCTTAACTCTTTGGATAGACCAGGTATATTAAAACACAATAGTTCTAAGTACATGTACTGCACTTTTTTATTTTATAAACATGATTTTAAGACAGTTTTAAATTTAGGTCATATTAAACAGTTAAGCCGCACGCGTGCTTTTACATTGATGGTTGTGTGAGGCTTCAATTTACTTACAATTTCATATGTATATATCCTCCCATGAAATATTTTAACAGATTTTAAAAATAAAGGTTAAGAAAACTTACCGGTGTCTCACCGTTTCACAAATTCACGTCATTTAAATTTTTTACACAACTATTTTTAATATTTTAACCTATTATAAACCATTTTTTTTCTTCAAATATTTTATGTTTTTACATAATACAAAAAATATGCTTGAAGAAAATAACAATTTAAATTTTTTTTAAGTAAAAAAAAATATTTATGGAATTAATTTTTGATTTTTTTTTAATAAAACAACAGATTTGTATTTATCTTATATTAAATATATATTGAAAACATGTCTTGATCTTTTAGTTTGACGATTATATATTGCTTTCGAATCTATAGTGGTATCACAACCTAAAAAAGACCACTTGATATACATGGTGTTTCACATTCGTGGTCCATTGGAAGTTTCTGTGGAACGGAAAAAAATATCGTTTTGAAATTTAAAAGCGTTTATAATCATTTTTTTTTAAATATTTTGAACAAAATGCCACTGACCGGAACTTTGTTATTTCAAATAAAACTCCCCATATATTTTTACATTTTTAAATTCTACATACAATTCTGAGTATTTACTATACCAAAAGTAAATAGTTTTCGAGTTCCCTATAGGTACCTAAAGTTAATAGTTCAGTACAGGGTGTTTCATTTAAAATAAAAAAGTTATTAACGTTTCAAGTTAGCCTAATTTGCCCTGGGTTTTCTTGGGTAATGTTAAAGAATTGACATGGAATCTTTTTAACAATGTTTTAAGATGCCAAAAATTCCACCCCCATTTCGCAAACCTAATAGCAATTATAGGCTATTTTTGATTGTCGCGCATTTGTCAAATTTTAACGAAAAAATTAATAACTCGAAAACTATTCACTGTAGGTATGGGACATGGTAGAATAATTTTACTCAAAATTTTAGTAGAATTTAAAACGAAGATGATATCACTTCCTGTCAAACCGGAAGTGGCATTTTGTTTAAAATATTTCGGAAAAATAGGCTTAATTGAATAATAAACGCCTTTATTATTCAATTATTCAATTTCAAATCGATATCTTTTGCCGTTCCTCAGAAACTTTTAATGGACCACGAACGTAAAACACCCGTATTTCGTAAATGTGCAACACCCTGTATATAATTAAAATATTTTAAAATAAATAAATAATTTTAATGGTTGTCCATTTATTCAGTGAATAAATTTTTCTTAAAAATATACAGTCTAGCTGTTATATAAGCTGTTATAATGTAATATAATATTATTATGTGCCGAATACCGTGGATAACATTTTTATGACTATATACGACATGATTGTGATTTTTTTCATTTTATTAATTAATTAAGCTGTGTTGAATATTTTTCCTAAAGGAATAATTGCCAATGGGCCATTAATTCATTTGTTCGTAGATGCTACAATAACCTCCACTGGTGTGTACTTTTGCATCAACCAGATTTAAATATTACAAAACTAACATATACCAGTGGAGATAGTGCAGGGTCTACCAACAGACCTAATTACTAAATTATTAAAGTTTAATAGCATATCGATCGTTTTTTCAACATAACCTCTGAAATTTTTAATACAAATATAGGTACTTTATATAATACATAAATATACTTAACATCATATCTGTGCTTTACATACCTGAGTTGTTACGGTAAATAAAAATCAGACAAAGGAACCAAAGAACTATTTTCAACAAAATCATATGCAGAAAGGAGAAAATTCAAACTACTTGCATCCATCAAAAGATCAAAACTTCTTGCAATATTACACCCTTTTTTTATAGTCTCAGAAATTTTGACTAGAACAGTATTAGAGAGACTCCAGTTTCTATAACTTGGTAGAGTAAAGAGAAGTCGAAACCGTTGCGATATTGCATTGCGCTGTTTTTGTATAATTCTCGGGGACATTAACGAAAATCATTGCCAGTAAAATTCGACAAGCTTTAGTTTCTATGTCTCTGAGGAGAATAGGAATAGAAAATCAAAATAATGTATCTTGTAAGACACCATTGAGTTTGACTTTAAATATAGTCGTGCATAGGTATAGAGCCGAAAAATATAAAAACAAAGCACGATTCAATACAGTTATGATAAAACTTTAAGATTTGATATTCAAACGCGGAGTCATCCTATACACTTCTATAATTTTCCGTTTGCTGTGTGGTCAATGTAACATGTTCTTTGCTATATAAAAACGGCACTTTTTTCCAACATGTGACTTCGCAGTTATACCCAGGTTTGAAACAACGAAGTATCATCGAGTAGTACATGTTAAACTGTCTGCAAAATTTTTGTTATTAGTTAGTTAGATCGACGTAGAATCATGAAATGTTCAACGATATTATCACATTGTTAATTAACTTATACTAATACTAATAGACATTGCTTTATGTTTTGTTGTAGGAAATCGTGAAGATTTACATACTAAAACTATTCATTAATACAAAATGTTTACTTTGAAATCTCTTACGAAAATAACAATTTTAGGACCAGCAAATGACCCAGGTCCTATTATAATAACTACCCCGGCTCCCCCTACAATCTTAGTCAGCATTTCTACCCCAGCAATTGCTATTTTCGCTGTGGGTGGTACAGTGAGATACAATTGCTCGGCACAATCAGTGCAATATCCTAGAGTAATAAACTCTGTTGTAATTACAATAAAAATATTTAAAAAAATATTTTTTAGATCGTCAAAGTTTTATGGAACAAAGAAGACACACCATCTCTACCGGATAGAGCCATTGACAATGGTAAAGGTATTTTAACAATCACAGACCTTAGGGAAACCGATTCTGGAAACTACATTTGCGAAGCCTATGATGGTTACAACATTGTTACCAGTCATGTAAAACTTGTTGTTGGAGGTAAGTTATCTATATCTTTAGTGAATATATTTGTACTAATATAATTTGTCAGTTTTCTTGCTTAACTCTTTGGATAGACCAGGTATATTAAAACACAATAGTTCTAAGTACATGTACTGCACTTTTTGATTTTATAAACATGATTTTAAGACAGTTTTAAATTTAGGTCATATTAAACAGTTAAGCCGCACGCGTGCTTTTACATTGATGGTTGTGTGAGGCTTCAATTTACTTACAATTTCATATGTATATATCCTCCCATGAAATATTTTAACAGATTTTAAAAATAAAGGTTAAGAAAACTTACCGGTGTCTCACCGTTTCACAAATTCACGTCATTTAAATTTTTTACACAACTATTTTTAATATTTTAACCTATTATAAACCATTTTTTTTCTTCAAATATTTTATGTTTTTACATAATACAAAAAATATGCTTGAAGAAAATAACAATTTAAATTTTTTTTAAGTAAAAAAAAATATTTATGGAATTAATTTTTGATTTTTTTTTAATAAAACAACAGATTTGTATTTATCTTATATTAAATATATATTGAAAACATGTCTTGATCTTTTAGTTTGACGATTATATATTGCTTTCGAATCTATAGTGGTATCACAACCTAAAAAAGACCACTTGATATACATGGTGTTTCACATTCGTGGTCCATTGGAAGTTTCTGGGGAACGGAAAAAAATATCGTTTTGAAATTTAAAAGCGTTTATAATCATTTTTTTTTAAATATTTTGAACAAAATGCCACTGACCGGAACTTTGTTATTTCAAATAAAACTCCCCATATATTTTTACATTTTTAAATTCTACATACAATTCTGAGTATTTACTATACCAAAAGTAAATAGTTTTCGAGTTCCCTATACCTAAAGTTAATAGTTCAGTACAGGGTGTTTCATTTAAAATAAAAAAGTTATTAACGTTTCAAGTTAGCCTAATTTGCCCTGGGTTTTCTTGGGTAATGTTAAAGAATTGACATGGAATCTTTTTAACAATGTTTTAAGATGCCAAAAATTCCACCCCCATTTCGGCAAACCTAATAGCAATTATAGGCTATTTTTGATTGTCGCGCATTTGTCAAATTTTAACGAAAAAATTAATAACTCGAAAACTATTCACTGTAGGTATGGGACATGGTAGAATAATTTTACTCAAAATTTTAGTAGAATTTAAAACGAAGATGATATCACTTCCTGTCAAACCGGAAGTGGCATTTTGTTTAAAATATTTCGGAAAAATAGGCTTAATTGAATAATAAACGCCTTTATTATTCAATTATTCAATTTCAAATCGATATCTTTTGCCGTTCCTCAGAAACTTTTAATGGACCACGAACGTAAAACACCCGTATTTCGTAAATGTGCAACACCCTGTATATAATTAAAATAGTTTAAAATAAATAAATAATTTTAATGGTTGTCCATTTATTCAGTGAATAAATTTTTCTTAAAAATATACAGTCTAGCTGTTATATAAGCTGTTATAATGTAATATAATATTGTTATGTGCCGAATACCGTGGATAACATTTTTATGACTATATACGACATGATTGTGATTTTTTTCATTTTATTAATTAATTAAGCTGTGTTGAATATTTTTCCTAAAGGAATAATTGCCAATGGGCCATTAATTCATTTGTTCGTAGATGCTACAATAACCTCCACTGGTGTGTACTTTTGCATCAACCAGATTTAAATATTACAAAACTAACATATACCAGTGGAGATAGTGCAGGGTCTACCAACAGACCTAATTACTAAATTATTAAAGTTTAATAGCATATCGATCGTTTTTTCAACATAACCTCTGAAATTTTTAATACAAATATAGGTACTTTATATAATACATAAATATACTTAACATCATATCTGTGCTTTACATACCTGAGTTGTTACGGTAAATAAAAATCAGACAAAGGAACCAAAGAACTATTTTCAACAAAATCATATGCAGAAAGGAGAAAATTCAAACTACTTGCATCCATCAAAAGATCAAAACTTCTTGCAATATTACACCCTTTTTTTATAGTCTCAGAAATTTTGACTAGAACAGTATTAGAGAGACTCCAGTTTCTATAACTTGGTAGAGTAAAGAGAAGTCGAAACCGTTGCGATATTGCATTGCGCTGTTTTTGTATAATTCTCGGGGACATTAACGAAAATCATTGCCAGTAAAATTCGAAAAGCTTTAGTTTCTATGTCTCTGAGGAGAATAGGAATAGAAAATCAAAATAATGTATCTTGTAAGACACCATTGAGTTTGACTTTAAATATAGTCGTGCATATATGCACGACTATATTTAAAGTCAAACTCAATGGTGTCTTACAAGATACCTATAGGTATAGAGCCGAAAAATATAAAAACAAAGCACGATTCAATACAGTTATGATAAAACTTTAAGATTTGATATTCAAACGCGGAGTCATCCTATACACTTCTATAATTTTCCGTTTGCTGTGTGGTCAATGTAACATGTTCTTTGCTATATAAAAACGGCACTTTTTTCCAACATGTGACTTCGCAGTTATACCCAGGTTTGAAACAACGAAGTATCATCGAGTAGTACATGTTAAACTGTCTGCAAAATTTTTGTTATTAGTTAGTTAGATCGACGTAGAATCATGAAATGTTCAACGATATTATCACATTGTTAATTAACTTATACTAATACTAATAGACATTGCTTTATGTTTTGTTGTAGGAAATCGTGAAGATTTACATACTAAAACTATTCATTAATACAAAATGTTTACTTTGAAATCTCTTACGAAAATAACAATTTTAGGACCAGCAAATGACCCAGGTCCTATTATAATAACTACCCCGGCTCCCCCTACAATCTTAGTCAGCATTTCTACCCCAGCAATTGCTATTTTCGCTGTGGGTGGTACAGTGAGATACAATTGCTCGGCACAATCAGTGCAATATCCTAGAGTAATAAACTCTGTTGTAATTACAATAAAAATATTTAAAAAAATATTTTTTAGATCGTCAAAGTTTTATGGAACAAAGAAGACACACCATCTCTACCGGATAGAGCCATTGACAATGGTAAAGGTATTTTAACAATCACAGACCTTAGGGAAACCGATTCTGGAAACTACATTTGCGAAGCCTATGATGGTTACAACATTGTTACCAGTCATGTAAAACTTGTTGTTGGAGGTAAGTTATCTATATCTTTAGTGAATATATTTGTACTAATATAATTTGTCAGTTTTCTTGCTTAACTCTTTGGATAGACCAGGTATATTAAAACACAATAGTTCTAAGTACATGTACTGCACTTTTTGATTTTATAAACATGATTTTAAGACAGTTTTAAATTTAGGTCATATTAAACAGTTAAGCCGCACGCGTGCTTTTACATTGATGGTTGTGTGAGGCTTCAATTTACTTACAATTTCATATGTATATATCCTCCCATGAAATATTTTAACAGATTTTAAAAATAAAGGTTAAGAAAACTTACCGGTGTCTCACCGTTTCACAAATTCACGTCATTTAAATTTTTTACACAACTATTTTTAATATTTTAACCTATTATAAACCATTTTTTTTCTTCAAATATTTTATGTTTTTACATAATACAAAAAATATGCTTGAAGAAAATAACAATTTAAATTTTTTTCAAGTAAAAAAAAATATTTATGGAATTAATTTTTGATTTTTTTTTAATAAAACAACAGATTTGTATTTATCTTATATTAAATATATATTGAAAACATGTCTTGATCTTTTAGTTTGACGATTATATATTGCTTTCGAATCTATAGTGGTATCACAACCTAAAAAAGACCACTTGATATACATGGTGTTTCACATTCGTGGTCCATTGGAAGTTTCTGGGGAACGGAAAAAAATATCGTTTTAAAATTTAAAAGCGTTTATAATCAATTTTTTTTAAATATTTTGAACAAAATGCCACTGACCGGAACTTTGTTATTTCAAATAAAACTCCCCATATATTTTTACATTTTTAAATTCTACATACAATTCTGAGTATTTACTATACCAAAAGTAAATAGTTTTCGAGTTCCCTATACCTAAAGTTAATAGTTCAGTACAGGGTGTTTCATTTAAAATAAAAAAGTTATTAACGTTTCAAGTTAGCCTAATTTGCCCTGGGTTTTCTTGGGTAATGTTAAAGAATTGACATGGAATCTTTTTAACAATGTTTTAAGATGCCAAAAATTCCACCCCCATTTCGGCAATCCTAATAGCAATTATAGGCTATTTTTGATTGTCGCGCATTTGTCAAATTTTAACGAAAAAAATTAATAACTCGAAAACTATTCACTGTAGGTATGGGACATGGTAGAATAATTTTACTCAAAATTTTAGTAGAATTTAAAACGAAGATGATTTCACTTCCTGTCAAACGGGAAGTGGCATTTTGTTTAAAATATTTCGGAAAAATAGGCTTAACTGAATAATAAACGCCTTTATTATTCAATTATTCAATTTCAAATCGATATCTTTTGCCGTTCCTCAGAAACTTTTAATGGACCACGAACGTAAAACACCCGTATTTCGTAAATGTGCAACACCCTGTATATAATTAAAATATTTTAAAATAAATAAATAATTTTAATGGTTGTCCATTTATTCAGTGAATAAATTTTTCTTAAAAATATACAGTCTAGCTGTTATATAAGCTGTTATAATGTAATATAATATTATTATGTGCCGAATACCGTGGATAACATTTTTATGACTGCACGTTGTTTTTTTTTTCTATACAGATGACACACAGGTGACACACCCGATAAGTTGATACTTTTTTTACTCTTCGTAAACATTTTTGTAGCTCTCATGTTTTGCCCGTCCTATGGTATTAAAAGGAACATCTTTATCCTACTCTTTGTACTAGCTTGGTACCAAAATGCAAAAGTTTAATATTTTTGGACATTTTCTTACTTTATGCATGCCAAAATTTGTAAAAAGATTTTGATAGGTACCTACTTTAATGAAAATCTTAATGTTTTTAACATTTGTACATTAATATGTTTTGTTTTGGGAACTCTAACATGGCTTATTGTTACTATAATTTATTAATCCACATTGTTTGTTTCAATCGCTTCTACTAACTTTGGAATAGGTAAAAGACCAGGTAGGTACAAAGAGATTTAACATTATTCTCAAGCTTCTTTAAATATTGCACATTATACTAACATTATTTACAATATTGAAGGTGAAGATCAGTCATCATCAAATCCAGGATACAAAGATTTATACCCGCGTCAACGTCATCACCAAAGAGTTGTTTCCGCAGTAGGACGTCCAGCTCAACTAAAATGCAGAGTAGACAACCGTATTGGTAACATTCGACATTAATTGCAATAAATATTTTTATTATCATTTTTTTCAGAACAAACAGATATTATTTGGTTACGCGGTAATAATTCTTCTATACCCAGAGAAGCTTACATCAAACAAGACACGTTATATTTCGATAATGCTCAGCCTTCATCAGCTGGCAAATACAAATGTATTGGATTAGATTCTCAAACTAAAAGAGAGTTGTTCATGTTCTCTTGGTATTTGGACATTATTTGTAAGTCGATTAACATCATTTAATTACCCAAAAATCCTAACCAAAATCACTTTAGCTCCACCGAGGATAACTCTTGACCCAGTAAGGCAGGTTGTGAGTCCCGGCCAGGACGCTTCGATTCAATGTACAGCAGTTGGTGATCAACCAATGCAAATCTGGTGGACACCCATGAATCGCAGCATGCCTTCTTCTGTCACCACAAAAGACGGTTTCATGCAATTTAGCAGAATTCAGTTCCAAGATCAGGGCAGATACGTTTGCAGGGCTAGAAACAGCGCTGGTGAAGCTGATGCCACAGCTGATGTCATTGTAGAAGGTAAGTTATATTTTTTATTAACATTTATATTAATTAATTATTATAAAATTAACATATTCTTCTATTATGTTTGTGTTAAATATTAATTCAAATTTTTCAATATTAGTAATTATCCTAATGTAAAATATTTGGTATTTCGTGAACTACTTAAGCAATGTTGTTTAAACTTAAAAAGCATAATACCAAATAAGTGATCATCCTTTAAGGGGATGATAGTATACGCCAAAATAAGAAAGTTTTTGCATTAGTGCCATTTTTTTTAAATAAAGTAAAATAGAAAACAACCGAATCGGTTGAACCGATGCAAAATATGCTTGCACAGTGGGCAATAATTTACATTCATTAAAAATTTACATTTGTGTTATCATTAAGTACTTTTTTGATAATTGTTTTTTGTTTTGCATACTCAGCTATTTTTAGGTTTTTTAAATAAAACAAAAAAACTCACCTTTCACTTTTTACGTCGATTGTTGCTTATGTAGCTATTTTTTTAAGTGTTCCACTAAATCAAATTAAATGCTCAACTATCCTTCCATTATTATCCACAAAAAGTTGAAAGCGGCGTAGAAAATTATGATGTGTCGCTCTTGCTATCATATCCGGATGATTTCGGATTTCAACTGCCGCTACAGTGGTTCTAATATATCAACTTCGCTCTGGTTTAGGACCAGCAAATGACCCAGCTCCTGATACAAACACTACCCCGGCTCCCCCTACAATCTTAGTCAGCATTTCTACCCCAGGAATTGCTATTTTCGCTGTGGGAGGCACAGTGAGATACAATTGCTCGGCAAAATCAATGCAATATCCTAGAGTAATAAACGTTGTAGTAATTACAATTAAAATATTTAAAAAAATATTTTTTAGACCTTCAAAGTTTTATGGAACAAAGAAGACACACCATCTCTACCGGATAGAGCCATTGACGATGGTAAAGGTATTTTAACAATCACAGACCTTAGGGAAACTGATTCTGGAAACTACATTTGCAAAGCCTACGATGATTATAACATTGTTACCATTCATGTAAAACTTGTTGTTGGAGGTAAGTTATCTGTTTCTTTAGTGAATATATTTGTACTAATGTAATTTGTCAGTTTTCTTGCTTAACTCTTTGGATAGACCAGGTATATTAAAACAATAGTTTTAAGTACATGTACTGCACTTTTTTATTTTATAAACATGATTTTAAGACAGTTTTAAATTTAGGTCATATTAAACAGTTAAGCCGCACGCGTGCTTTTACATTGATGGTTGTGTGAGCCCTCAATTTACTTACAATTTCATATGTGACCCTGCAATTGTGAATGTATAACACAGTTCAACACGATTTTCCTCCCATGAAATATTTTAACAGATTTTAAAAATAAAGGTTAAGAAAACGTACCGGTGTCTCACCGTTTCACAAATTCACGTCATTTAAATTTTTTACACAACTATTCTTAATATTTTAACCTATTATAAACCATTTTTTTTTCTTCAAATATTTTATGTTTTTACATAATACAAAAATTATGCTTGAAGAAAATAACAATTTAAATTTTTTTTAAGTAAAAAAAATATTTATGGCATTAATTTTTGATTTTTTTTTTATAAAACAACAGATTTGTATTTATCTTATATTAAATATATATTGAAAACATATCTTGATCTTTTAGTTTGACGATTATACATTGCTTTCGAATCTATAGTGGTATCACAACCTAAAAAACACCACTTGATATACATGGTGTTTCACATTCGTGGTCCATTGGAAGTTTCTGGGGAACGGAAAAAAATATCGATTTGAAATTTAAAAGCGTTTATAATCAATTTTTTTTAAATATTTTGAACAAAATGCCACTGACCGGAACTTTGTTATTTCAAATAAAACTCCCCATATATTTTTACATTTTTAAATTCTACATACAATTCTGAGTATTTACTATACCAAAAGTAAATAGTTTTCGAGTTCCCTATACCTAAAGTTAATGGTTAATAGTACAGGGTGTTTCATTTAAAATAAAAAAGTTATTAACGTTTCAAGTTAGCCTAATTTGCCCTGGGTTTTCTTGGGTAATGTTAAAGAATTGACATGGAATCTTTTTAACAATGTTTTAAGATGCCAAAAATTCCACCCCCATTTCGGCAATCCTAATAGCAATTATAGGCTATTTTTGATTGTCGCGCATTTGTCAAATTTTAACGAAAAAAATTAATAACTCGAAAACTATTCACTGTAGGTATGGGACATAGTAGAATAATTTTACTCAAAATTTTAGTAGAATTTAAAACAAAGATGATATCACATCCGGTCAAACCGGAAGTGGCATTTTGTTTAAAATATTTCAGAAAAATAGGCTTAATTGAATAATAAACGCCTTTATTATTCAATTATTCAATTTCAAATCGATATCTTTTGACGTTCCTCAGAAACTTTTAATGGACCACGAACGTAAAACACCCGTATTTCGTAAATGTGCAACACCCTGTATATAATTAAAATATTTTTAAATAAAAAAATAATTTTAATGGTTGTCCATTTATTCAGTGAATAAATTTTTCTTAAAAATATACAGTCTAGCTGTTATCTAAGCTGTTATAATGTAATATAATATTATTATGTGCCGAATACCGTGGATAACATTTTTATGACTGCGCGTTGTTTTTTTTCTATACAAATGACATACCGAATAAGTTGTCATCCTTTAAGGGGATGACAATTTATTGGGTGACACACTGTATATCGGAGTGATGGGCTTCCATATTACCACCCTATTAAAAATAGCAGGTATAGAGTACATTTTCCTTTTTAGAATCTCGCGACAGCACACCTCGCACTGCTGTAAACAAAGGCTACGTAAGAGCCTTAAGCTGTGTAAAATTATATATATGTATACAGAATTAAAATAATATATTTTCAAAAGTAATAAAATGGTATGTTTAATTTTTAAAAATAATGTATACTTCCTTGCTTGTTTATATTCTTTATTTGCGACTAGTTTCGGTTATATATAACCTACACCATCTTCAGGCAAACTACAAATAATGAGGTATTAAATAAATATTTAAAAGATTTTAAAGTTAGGTTAAGTTATTTTGGTTAAAATATTTGTTAATTACGATTATTATAAATATAGGTAGTTAAAAATGTAAAATTAGTATCTACTTACAATGTCAAGTTTTAAAATATGAGTTAAAATAGAATAATATATTACGAACATAGAAGTTTTAAACAATTTTTACACTTTATAAATAAATGTTTTTTGTGGTAGCTGTGAGATGTTGGTTGTGGTCTTACAGGTGTTTGAAAATAGGTTCAAAATATAATTCTACTTGTTCGTTTAGTAGGTTACATTTGTCTTTGTTTTTGTTTATTTCATAGGCTTCTAGAAGTGTTAGTTTTATTCCTTTTTCTTCTTGATGTAGGTAATATTTTTATATTTTTCCAGTCTTCAAATTTATGTCCGCTTGATTGTAGATTTCTTCCAAAGTTTGATGTTTTGGTATCTTTTATGTGTTCTTTAATTCTTGTTTTTATACTTCTTCCTGTTTCCCCAATATATTTTGCATCGCATTCTTCGCATGTTATGCAGTATACTCCGTTTTTATCGAGATAATGTGTATTGTCTTTTCCGTTTTTTAGGCAGTTGATAAGGTTTTCTTTTTGTGATGTTGCGCAGGTGATTTTGTATTTTTTAAGTATTTTTGCTATTTTATTGTTTATATTTCCCTGATATGAAAATTTTTTATAAGTATGTTCTTTGGTTTTATCAGTGAGGTTCAAGAGGTGTTTGTTTAAAATTATTTTTTCTTGTTTTTTAATTATTTTCTCGATAGTAGATAAAGGAAAGTTATTTTCTGATGCCATTTGTTTGATGATGTTAAGTTCGTTTTCTTTGTTGTTTTGGTTCATTGGGATGTTTAAAGCTCGGTGTGTCCACAGTTTCATATACCGAGCTTTAAACATCCCAATGAACCAAAACAACAAAGAAAACGAACTTAACATCATCAAACAAATGGCATCAGAAAATAACTTTCCCTTATCTACTATCGAGAAAATAATTAAAAAACAAGAAAAAATACTTTTAAACAAACACCTCTTGAACCTCACTGATAAAACCAAAGAACATACTTATAAAAAATTTTCATATCAGGGAAATATAAACAATAAAATAGCAAAAATACTTAAAAAATACAAAATCACCTGCGCAACATCACAAAAAGAAAACCTTATCAACTGCCTAAAAAACGGAAAAGACAATACACATTATCTCGATAAAAACGGAGTATACTGCATAACATGCGAAGAATGCGATGCAAAATATATTGGGGAAACAGGAAGAAGTATAAAAACAAGAATTAAAGAACACATAAAAGATACCAAAACATCAAACTTTGGAAGAAATCTACAATGAAGCGGACATAAATTTGAAGACTGGAAAAATATAAAAATATTACATCAAGAAGAAAAAGGAATAAAACTAACACTTCTAGAAGCCTATGAAATAAACAAAAACAAAGACAAATGTAACCTACTATACGAACAAGTAGAATTATATTTTGAACCTATTTTCAAACACCTGTAAGACCACAACCAACATCTCACAGCTACCACAAAAAACATTTATTTATAAAGTGTAAAAATTGTTTAAAACTTCTATGTTCGTAATATATTATTCTATTTTAACTCATATTTTAAAACTTGACATTGTAAGTAGATACTAATTTTACATTTTTAACTACCTATATTTATAATAATCGTAATTAACAAATATTTTAACCAAAATAACTTAACCTAACTTTAAAATCTTTTAAATATTTATTTAATACCTCATTATTTGTAGTTTGCCTGAAGATGGTGTAGGTATAACCGAAACTAGTCGCAAATAAAGAATATAAACAAGCAAGGAAGTATACATTATTATTAAAAATTAAACATTCCATAAACCTTGCTAAAAATAGATTACCAAAACCTAATGAAAAATAATAAAATGGTATTTGATTGTTTAAAATGTATCCCCAACAAATAACAAGGCCATTCAGAGGATGTCCTCAGGACATCCCATTCCTGGACCTACATATACCCATGGGACTTTCAGGGGACATCCTTAGGATGTCCTTTCCTGGACCTATATGGACCTAGGGATATCCCTAGGATATCCTAAAGGCCATTTGCGGGACGTCTGTAGGCTGGCCTTTTTTGCACCACTCGGCCATGGTTGGGATGTCCTGAGGAGGTCTGAGGACGTCCTAGGATATCCTTGGGATATCCCAATATCATGTAAGGCTTTCCCTAGGACGTCCTTAGGACAGACTTGTGCTAGCTGGGTAGGTCTCTTGTTTGACGTATAAAATTGCCCACTAAAGACCAGCTTATCATTAATTTATGTTAAAACGCTTGAAATACACACTAGCAAATGCAAATTATAACTGAATGGTCGCTTAAAGAAATCCGCAATCTGGGGAGGGGCATTTGGGGAGGTGCATCTGGGAAGGGGCGATCGGCTCCACTCGGCTTCCCTCGAGTGTATATGTTTCAAATGAATTTGCGGTATATGCAAAAACGTTCTATCTGTTGATCTGTTGTTGCGTGAAAAAAATCATAAACAGACAAAAATAAACACGCATTTATTTATGACAAATACAAGGATATCGTTTTGCTTTTACAGAAAATGTTCAAGGTCCGGTTATAATAGCAAACAAAAAACAATTGAGAGCCTATGTAGGCACAAACACGGAGCTGCGTTGCCAAGCCCAAGACCCCAACGCTAGAATCAAATGGTACAGAGAATCCACAGTTTTGCCGATTAATTCCAGAGTAGACAGAGGTTCCTTGACCCTGTACAACGTTCAGCCTGAAGATGGCGGCAGATATTACTGCGAAATCGAAGGCGAACAATCGAACGATTTCACCGACTTGATCATAGTCAGTGAGTATACAGGGCGTTTCAGATATACTGCCAACAAACGAAAGTCTCAAATTTTGGAAACAATTGGAATTAAAAATATGTTCTGAATTCTGAATATCTATTCTTGACATTAATACGGAAGTTTTAATTCTTTTAATTTAAAGTATGTTTTGACTTTCATATTTTTTATTTCTAATTTTTTTTTTAATTTATTTAAAGCTAAAATTGTCTTCAGGATTTAAGATTTTTGTTTGCCAGCATTGTTACAATACATGTTTAGTATAATGTTATATCTAAATCTAATCTAAAGATAGTAAAGGCAAGTATAGATTTCAATTAAATGTTGTGACGTGATTATGTTAGATTCCGAAGAATTCGTGTGCCGGAGTTTGGAGTGCATAGTATGCCCAAGTACAAGTTGTGCGATTCAGTACCGGATTGTCGCGACGGAAGCGACGAAAAGTTTTGCCCGGCCAGGATACGACGTGGTTTGTTTTATTGATACTTTTTTTACTCTTCGTAAACATTTTTGTAGCTCTCATGTTTTGCCCGTCCTATGGTATTAAAAGGAACATCTTTATCCTACTCTTTGTACTAGCTTGGTACCAAAATGCAAAAGTTTAATATTTTTGGACATTTTCTTACTTTGTGCATGCTAAAATTTGTAAAAAGATTTTGATAGGTACTTTAATGAAAATCTTAATGTTTTTGACATTCTGAAATATTTTTATCTATTTTGCGTTCATAATGACTTCATTGTAACACCGCTTTCGGTGCTGTAATGCTAGTAAAATAATATTTTGCATATTGGTTATAATATTTTTATGATTTTTCTAGTACTTACTTACGAGACTTTTTTGGCAATAAATTTTGTTTAAAGCCAAAGAAAATCCTTTTTTTCTTCTTTAACATTAACAGCCGCTTATTGTAAATAAGTAAATTAAGGACGCCATGGCGAATCGATTTTGACATTAACCATTCAAACCAATGACTATGATACCAACTATTTAAAGTAAAATTTGACCATTAAATATAAGGTATAACATTAATTTTTTTTATAGAATTTTTGCAAAATAGATAAAATAGCATAAAGAACTCATGTCATAAGACCTTTTGTCGCACTCGTCCATTACAAAACTCGCTCCTTCGTCGATCGTTTTATAAATTGTTCTCGTGCGACAAAATGACGTCTTATGACTATTTTAACATTCTTAAATATGTTTAAACCTTTCTTGCACAGGGTTTTGAAATTAGTAAGAATTTTGAACATCAATTCAAAAAAAGTCCTTTGCATTTTGGTGCCAATTTGTTGTTATTGCAGAATGTAGCTTTTTTACAGTGCCCCCCCAGTGCTTTACATGTATAACTAACCAACATTGATATTTTAAAAACTTTTGCTTTGATCCCACTTTTTAATGCAAAAAAGTCTGTTTTTGGTAGGTACTTTTGTCGAAAAAAAGTTTAAAGAAAATATTTTTATGTTAATAGGGATACAAAATTTCTGGGATCTTAGAAAAAGCTATCGTGTTTTCAGAATACTGCATATTTCGTATTTGTTAAGCATTATTTCAAATAATAATATTAGTTAAAAACTAACATGTATATTCGTTCTAACTTTTATTAGCTTGATGAGTATTTTTAACAGACCTGTATATAGAACCTGTATATAAGTAAGTTGTTCAACGAAATCGTCCAAGTTTGATTGTAATATTGTTACATTTAATGTAAAAATACTAAACAAAATGTATGGTATGGGCAAAGAAGTATTTTGTTTGGTATTTAGTGTATATAAACCACTAAGCAACAATGTTGTCTAGTGTATATTGTATGAATAGTAGCAATTTTTACAGAACATTTAGGTTTTATTAAAAAAAAAAATGTGAATACTTTGAATCAATCTTTAGCTATAGCTTTTTGTATATCGTCTATGTACTACTACGCTTGATCATAATATTTCAAGACCTAATAATCTCAAATATCCTTTAAAAAAAACAACAAAAACCAAAGCATTTTTTTTAGGGCCTGCCCTTATCGAAGCTGCTCAACCAACCCTTGACATTTACCCAACCAAAGAAGATTACAGAGCGGGCGAAACAGTGCAAATTTCTTGTCACGCAAGCGAAAAAGGCGTAATCACAACTTGGTCCAAACCAGGCAGTTTTATATCGGAGAATGTGAAAATTGAAGGTTCAAATCTAATAATTTACGATTTAAGACGGGAAAACGGCGGAAGATACAGATGCGAGGCTACCGGATACCAAGGGGTGTACCACAAGGATCAGTACATCAATGTTATTGGTAAGTTTTTTGTGTTCATTTTTGGCATCATATGATTTTGAGATATCCAAAATCAAATCCGAATAAATATTATCATGGAAAATATTGTGAAACTCGTTTATTAGTTAAGGGTCATTCCATCGTTCAACCAAAGTATAAATTTTTATGTATTTTGAAATAACATTTTAGCAATTAAAGTGCCTTACTATCTACGTTTTTAGTTGTTTTATCTAAATTGTGAAATTAGTACAGTTTAGCATATAGGATAACGATTGTATGAGTCAAAAAGTGTGCGTGAGCATTGTTAAATTTATTTGAAATTAAGCGAATTTTCGTATGAAAACATTCTTAAAAATTACAGGCCTCCAAAAGTATAATATTTACTAACCATCTTCCACATAATCACTGTCACAAATAACGATTTACTATTTTTTTATAAAAAATTTCTTTGTTTCGGGTGTTGCCATAGTTCTGTTTAGGGTTTTACAAGTACAAAAATTAAACTTAGCATATATAGACAAAATCGGTGTTTCATTAGTCTTTCGGTACTACAAAATAAGTTAGAAACAAATAAACATAAATAGATTGAAACATAACTTAAGCAGCTTCGGGTGCGATTGATAAATCGGCAAAAAGGGCAAAATCGTTATTATTGCCAAAAATCGGTAAAAAAAAATCGGTAGAAACATAATTATTGACAAAAATCTAAGTTCGGTAATTTGGTAGGTCCGTTGCAATTTAGGTAGAAATACCGAAACGTTTCGGATGTTTTTAATCAAGAAAAACATATCAAATTAGTCTCATGCTCAGATATTAGTTAGTATTTTAAATCATTACCACCATAACGTTACTTTTTCTAAATATTATTACACGAATCAATCTGTAAGGTATACTAATAAAACAATTACACGTGATAATTATCAATTTTTTTTGGCACTATCCAAATTTAAAAAGCATAATAAACTATGGATATATCCTATTTTCTTCAAATTTAAACTTTCTGTCTTTTCCAGATTATTTCTATAAAATTTTAATATTTTTTTGCAGAAGAACATAAAGACGAACCAAAAATCCAAACCAAAACAGCCGTGAGAGGTACCACCATACTACTGGACTGTAATGTCACATTACCAAGCCCTATAACATATTTGTGGACCAAACAGGGTGGCCAACTGCCTCAATCAGTCAATATATACAACAGATCCATAATTATTCATGACGTAGGAAGTAGCGATGCTGGTACTTACATTTGTGCAGCCAGCAGTGGAAATCAAAAGATAGAAACGCCCATTAAATTGACCGTGACTGGAATCGTACCATACTTTGCCCAAGCACCTAACAGCTACATATCACTACCAACGCTACCTGACGCATTTGCTCAGTTCAGCTTCGAGATTTCGTTTAAACCAGAGAATGGACATGGGTTGATTCTCTACAACGGTGAAGGTGGTAATGACAGAAGCAAAGATTTTATATCGTTATCACTGGTTAATTCAGTACCAGAATTCAAGTACAGTTTGGACCAAAATACCGTCACAGTATTGGGTGATAGACCAATTACCAACAGACAATGGCACACAGTTAAAATCGTACGCAACAGACGTAAAGTACTTATGTACGTTGATGGAGAAGGTCCATTTATTGGAAATGCAGCTGGTAGACATATAGGTTTGAGCCTTAAAGAACCTCTTTACCTTGGTGGCGTACCAAACATGAACCAAATTCATCCAGACGTCAAAATGGACACAGGTTTCGTAGGATGTATAAGCCTCTTCAAAAACGGACAAGCCCATTGGGATATCCAGAAGGAAGCCATAGAGAAGTACAAAATCACGTCGTGTGAAACTTGCGCTGAAAATAAGTGCCAGAATAACGGTGTTTGTCAGGAAAATTTGTCCAAGGAAGGCTACACTTGCTTGTGCTCAAATGCTTATAGCGGACCTACTTGCAATAAGCCCAAAGGACAAGCTTGTTCACCAAGTAAGTTTTATTTTAACAGTTCTAGTATTGATAGATTAAAACGTTATAATTACAACCAATTTTATCAAAATTTCATTCTTATAGCCTCTTCAGATTCTAAGATATCCAATATTAAATCTAGATAATAATCATCATGTAAAATATTTGGTTACTCTTAAAGTACTTAAGAAATATACTTTTAATTAAAGAGGCAACCCAGACAGAAATATGACGTTTTAATTAAGTCTGCATAAGCTATATTTTATAATTTGGACGTCAGATACAACATAAGAAATAAGTTTATAAGACTTTTTCTCAAAAAAGAACTCTTGAGGAACCCTTTCTTTGACTTCGCAATTAAGAACTTAAAGACTCCTTCCGTCTTAACTCATAAAAAGACTTAAACATGTCATTTTCAGAATTGTCTCTTCTTGATATTTGTTGTACTGTTGAAAAAATAACATACTGGATCGTTGGTTATTTTGATAAGTCTTGCTTATTATTGGAATTGCGATTACTTCGTCTCACTTTTGTTTAAATTTAAATAGACGGCCTGTTTCACTTTTTTGGAGCTCTTCAGTATCGGGTAGCCGTTTGCCTAGGTCTAAAACGTTTGTTGTGGAACACGCTCTAAATTCTACTTCGCCGCTTCTTGAATTAAACAAAAGCAGTTACAGCGGTAGGACGAAAGATATGATTTCAGTAAGAAGTAAGAAAAAAGAATACTGTTAAATATCATATAACTGAAGTCTTACTTATGATACCCTCAGTACCTTCTAATTTTGATTCCAATAAGACGTTAGCAAAAAATCTTCTTATTTATAAATTCATTAAGAGCTCTTAATCTTGAGCTCCTAAAAATGATTTTCCCAAGACACGGTGCGGTTGAAGCCACTTTAAATGTGGGGGTCAGGTGACATTGGATTTTATTGTTGCATTTCATTCTAAGGACCTTTAGAAAACATTTACAAGAAAAATTTAAATCATCCTTAGAGCCGTTTTTTTTTTAAATTAATTTTTCAAGTAATTTTTGAAAACCGTTTATTTTTTAATGAAATGATATTTGAAATAGAAAAAAATGTTTATTAATTAGTTTTGAATCTCGTCTTAATACATTTTTATAATGACTTTGACTTCTCAGATTAGGTTTAGATGAAGGCACAAAATTAAATTTACCTGGATTCCTAGCCATTTTACATAGATCACAAATACCTACATACTTCTCCATCAGCCGGCCTTGTAATTAATTTATTCGGATGTTTCCAATTAGAATAATCCGGTAATTTTAAAGATTCTTTAGTACTTTCGCACTTATTTAGTTCATAAACTTTGAATCGACATGCTGTACAAATCACACTTGGTAAACGATTATCATTACTGCTATAAGAAGCAACGCTTAATATTTTTTCTAAAAGCTTCCCATTTATTTGCACTAAGTTACTCTTTTTCTTTAAACATATTAAATACAATTTTTTACGATTTTCAGAATGAGTTAGTGCATGATCTTTAGATAACGACATTTTAATACAAAAGCACAGACAAGAGTAAAATAAAGAGCCTCGTTTGAAAGATTACAAACAATTGACTGTTTGTTGTTAATACAAATGTTTAGTTGCTAACCCAGATAGCACAAAGAAGTACTAAAAACGTCCTGAGTATATCTTGTATCAGACATTAGTAAGTTCCGAGTACGTCCGAATCAGGTCCTGAACCTTCCCCAGGACGTTCCAGGGACATCCGATGTTACCAAATCGTCGGTCGCCAGAACGTCCTAAAGAAGACATCCTCTGGCCATCCTGAAATGCTTTATTGGGGACTAATGGACAGAATTGAAGAGTGGTATTCCCAAAGGCACAGACAGCAATATGACGTCTTAATTAAGTCTTATTTTATTAATTTGTTAAATGGATTTTATTAAAATCATTTTAATAATTTGCTCGTATTCGCTTATTTTAGGAATTGCGATTACTTCGTCTCACTTTTGTTTAAATTTAAGCGTGCTCCTCACCGACACCGATAGACGGCCTGTTTCCCTCGTTTGGAGCTCGTCACTATCGGGTAGCCGTTTCCTAGGTCTAAGACCGTTTGGTATGAAGCACGCTCTAAATTCTACTTCGCCGCTTCTTATATCAAACACAAGCAGTTACAGCGGTGAGAAGAAAGAATCGCATTAAAATGTCATAAATGTGACGTCTTCATGTTGACGTCTTAAAGAGTTAATAATATGATTTCAGTAAGAAGTAAGAAAAGAGAATACTGTAAGATATCATATAACTACCTACCTACCTACCCTTAGTAGCTTTTAATTTTGATTCCAATAAGAGGTCAGAAAAAAAGATACTTTAAGATGTTAAAAAATTTACTTCTTATTTATGAATTCATCAAAAACTCTTAATCTTGAGCTCCTAAAAATGATTTCTCTAAGATGTCATATTGTGACCTCAGTAAGATGTTTTTCAACAGACTTCGTACAGAAATCTTTCTGAATTGGATGCTGTTTGGGGGGTCTAAGTTACAAAAATAAAATTTTGAGTTATCAATGAAAAACAAATATTTTGCATATGTAAATGTTGAAATGTCTGAAACACGTTTGGAATTGCATATTCCGCTCTCCTGAAACCGTCAAACTCGCTTTCAGCTCGTGTGACAAACTCTTCACTCGAGCAGATATGCTGTATTCCAAACTTGTTACAGAATATACTATTAAGTCATTCTGCATGACACAAACTATTTTAAATGATAATATATTATTTAACCAACTTGGCACTTACACCCTTTGGAAATACAATGCTTCAATTACGTCCTTGGGACGTACCCAGTATATCCGCTATAATTTTCCCAAATAAGTAAGAGACTGGACGTACCCAAAACTTCCGATATAGGTCTAGGACGTTCGGACCTATGTGGGACCTGAAATGGACGTCCTGGGTACCTCTTGTGCTATCTGGGAAGACACTATTCATTTGTTTTTTCATTTGTTTATTTGTTTGTTCTTTATTAAAGAAAAAGTTTTTGCTTTAAAAAAGTATAGTAGATGCAACGAATAATTTCATATGACTTATTGCCCGTAAAAAGTAATGTTTACAGACATACGCGTGTGTGTAGTTGCTGATACATTGAATGTAAAAGTCGCGTACAACATTACTGCTTGCATATCTATGATATCGTCAGCATGCAATCAGTCAGATGCAAACATTCGCCGCGTCTACTATACTATTTTTAAAGCATGGAATCTAAAATATATTTAGTTCCTAGATTTTAAAAACCTATTTAATTTATGCTTATGTATATAACGCAAATGTACAAAAATATAAATTTTTATAGAACATATTATCAAAACTTATTAATTAGCATTTTTTGTATTTCAAATATCATTTAATTCGAAAATAACGGCTTTTTTAAAAAATAACCTTTAATTCGATTTAAAAAAAAACGGCTCTAAGGATGTTTTAAATGTTTCTTAAAAATGTATTTTAAAGGTCTTTAGAATGAAATGAAAAAATAAAATCCAATGTCACCGGACACCCTCATTTAAAGTTGGTTCAACCGCACCGTGAAGATGTCATATTGTGACCTCGGTAAGATGTTTTTTAACAGACTTTGTACAGAAATTTTTCTGATTTGGATGCTGTCTGGGTACCTAGTTCTATTTCATATTTTATCCAAATTTTAACTTTCTACCTTCTCCAGATTCTAAGATATCCAATACCATTAGATAATTTTCACAATGTAAAATATCTTTAAACTCGTGAACCACTTAGGCAATGAGATTTTGAGATATCAAGACCAAATCAAAATATTGTTTTAGTGATCTGTGGAAGCGGCAAATGCGTCGACACTGAAGCCAGCTTCGAATGCCATTGTCCTATAGGCTACTCAGGACCACGTTGCGAGAAAGAAATAACCGTGATTGAACCATCGTTTAAAAACAACGCCTACATCGCTTACCCAGCACCGAAAATCCAGCGCCACATCAAAATCATGATGAAGTTCAAGCCGAAAACCGTAGAGGACGGAATCTTGTTCTACGTAGCAGAAACTGAAGAAAAACACGGCGAATTCTTGTCCTTGGCCATCAAAGACAAGCATTTGGAGTTCAGATTCGATGCGGGCAGCGGAATGGTACTTTTGAGACAAGAAAACGAGTTGGTACCCGACGAATGGGCTGTTCTGACTGCCACAAGGTTCAGTCAGATGGCCAGGCTTGTGGTTAACGGTGCTTCAGTTATTCACAACGATAAAAACAGAAAGGTCTTGAATTTGTTCACGCCTGCTTATGTTGGCGGATACGACAAGGCTAGAGTCAAGTTGAACAGTGGAGTTGGAGTGGAAGATGGGTTCAATGGGTGCATATCTCAGGTATGTTTTGCTTTTTTATTTGCATTGTGTAAGTGTACAACCTCCCACTTTAACCTCCCAATTTAAATTAAGTGTACTTGATATCGATTTTCTACGCAATTGCGTAGCGTTTATGGTAAATCCCCTTTAAGAAATATTTATTAAAATAATTAAATAAAATCAAGTACAACCCTGACATTTAGCTAGATAAAATCCAGTACAACCCTGACCTTTTAATTAGATAAAATCAAGTACAACCCTGCCCTTTTAATTTGATAAAATCAAGTAAAACCCTGCCCTTTTAATTAGATAAAATCAAGTACAACTCTGCCCGTTTAAATTAGATAAAATCAAATACAAAATGTTTACATTCACCAAATTTACATCTCTTGTTAGTTGGACCGGTTTTTCTCGAATGATTTTGCTTCCCGCAAAATTTAAATGTTAGTTTATTTAAATGACTTTTTTAATACATTTTCAAACAATTGGAATCGTAAAAACCCACATATTGTTTAGTAGGGGAGGTTTTTGCAGATCTCCTCAAGTGTTTGGGTCCTTTCAAAGTCAACATTTTTTGATTTTTAGATAACCATTTCGGGTATGGACGATCCTAGCGCTTTGGTCTCAGGTGCCACTGACGCATCAAACGTAGAACAATGCATGGAAGAAGAAGAAGACTTCGACAACAACATCTACACACCGTCCGGCAACACCGAAGGTCATGACGTCACTTACACGCACACAGGGTGTTCCAGCAATCCCTGTCAACACGGTGAATGCTTCCCCCTATCGCCTGTAGACTACCAGTGCAGTTGTAAGCAAGGGTATAGGTAAGTAGTGTTAACTAGGTTGCCTAACTTATGGGTTGATTTGTGGATTAATATTTTAGCGGAAAGAACTGCGATATTTTGAATTCGTGTCAAAATGATCCTTGTAAAAATGGGGGAACTTGCAGAGAAACATCTAGTTCATACACTTGTGACTGTCTTTTAGGATATACCGGAGGAGATTGTGACCAAAGTAGGAATTATTACTATAATAAAACTATTTTATATAAGCAAATCATTTTTTAAGGAACCGAGCTGAGAAACGACGTACATTTCGATGGTGCGGGTTACTTGGAGTTCAGCAAGGAATTGTTGGAAGAAAAAGATACCAATACAGAGCAAATAATAGCTATGGAGTTGTCTACAAATCATAGCAATGGTTTAATATTTTGGCATGGTCAAAAACCAAATGAAGACGGTCAAGGCAAAGACTACATCTCTTTAGCTTTGGTAAATGGTTACTTGGAATATAGCTACGATTTAGGTTCAGGACCAGCCATCATAAGAAACTCCAAAGTGAAGGTGGATGACAATGAAAGACACAGTGTCATTCTGAAACGTGTTGGTCAAAGAGGATCGATAGAAATCGATCATCAATACATGGTAGACGGCGAATCTGAAGGATTACAAGGATTTTTAAACGCTCACGGCAATATTTACCTAGGAGGAACACCCAATATACCATTAATGACAAGCAATAGGGTGCAAACCGGTTTTGTGGGCTGCATCCATGGGTTTGAGCTTCAAGAATCTAGAACCATCGATTTAGGAGTTAAGGCTATTAATGGAGTCAACGCCAAGCCTTGTTCAAGGTAAGACAGGTATTATAAACGTGAAATAAGCCATGTTTTTTTATTGAACCTCTTTGAAAATACGTTTTCCTTTTGACATTTCCAAATTTGAAATTTGTAGCTTGTCCAGATTCTCAGATATCCAATACCAAATCTGGATAATTATCATCTTGTAAAATATATGTTAACTCTTGAGTACTTGAGTAATGTCCTTTAAATTTAGAACGTATAATAAACAATTTATACATCCTCTTTTTTCCTAATTTGAACTTTTTAGCTTCTCCAGATTCTTAGATATCCAATACTAAATAATAATAATTATCATCATGTTAAATATCTTACAACTCTTAAAGTACTCAAGTAACGTCCTTTAAATTAAGAAAGTATAATAAACAATGTATACATCCTATTGTATCCAAATTTGAATTTTCTAGCTTCTTCAGATTCTGAGTTATCCAATACTAAATCTGGATAATTATCATAAAATATCTAGTAAATCTTTAAGTACTCAAGTAATGTCCTTTAAATTTAGGAAGCATAATAAACTATTTATACATACTCTTTTGTCCAAATTTGAACTTTCCAGCTTCCTCAGATTCTGAGATATCGAATACCAAATCTGAAATTTTTTTATCATGTAAAATAAATGGTAACTCGTAAACTACTAAAACAATGTCCTTTAAATTTAAAAAGCATAATTAACAATTTATACATCCTATTTTGTCCAAATTTTAACTTCCAAGTTCTTCAGATTCTGGGATATAAAATACCTTCATACAAATTTATTTCCAAATCTATCACATTTTTAAAGAGTGGAAAAGGGTGAAAAATTACTAAACTGTTAAGGACTGCCTTAAGAATGTAAACTGAAGCTAGATATAAGTGTCTAAGGAATGTCTACTTGTAAGCATAGTATTTTCAGAGAGGTACCTATACAAAATATTCCCTTTTACTAATAAGCTAACATTTTTTTTCACGCTAACAAAAAGGTTAAGATGGATACCGTCCTCCCTGATATTTTCGGATTCAGATCCGTTCGACGAAATTGTCGAACCACCACCTGTTAACATTATACATCCAAAACCATCCAATTCTTCTGCAATTATTATTTCCTTCCCTCTTTTAATCGTTATATTTTTAACGCGGTTTTTCGTTTTCACATCTTGCATCTAAAAAATGCAACCGTTTAGCTTGTAGTCCATGTCACAAAACATATCATTTTATGTTTGGGTTTTTAATTTTTATGAATTTGAGATAGTTGTGTAAGATATTAGGTATTGTTGAATATAAATATATATTTTATTATATTGACGAAATACAGACTGATTCCTTTTTATATATGGCGAACGAGGATTGTGTGGCAGGTAAAGAAAAACACTAGACTAGACTTGATTTTTTTGTCGTGTCAGTCTTGTCTTGTTCATATAGTCTTGCATGTCTTAAATTGGACTGAAGAACAGACTAGACTGGGTATAAAACAAATTGCATATTCTGATAACTTTTGATAATAATGCCATTTGAGGTCAATATTAATCCAAAACTTTGATTATTCAACTTAAAAATCAAAAAAATTGTTTACGTTTTGACTATAGATCCTTGTTATTAGTACAAATTAACATTAATTGGAGTAAACATACCAATTAATTTTTTTCCAGTTCTAGGTATGAGGGGAATATCGTTTAAGGTGACAGCTTCTTCTGAGCCCAGAAGACACCCATCATCTCATCTAGTTAGGTTATTATAGGCAGTTAAATTACAACATTTATGTTGGTTTTACTTATTTAAAATTCAGCGGTGAAATATCAGAACGCTGAGCGAATTAAAAAGCTGCCATTTATTTGAAAATATTGTCCATAGAGCTCTCGATCTGATATTTCGCGGCTTAGTGTTCAGTCTTTGTGTTCAATAAGTTTAACAAAAGACGCAAGTCAATATTTTCTGATAAGATTTATTTTTATATATTTAAAGAGGCTCCCCTAAATGGGGCCAATCTGCTTATAACATAGCTTTAATTTGCTTAAATGTTTCCTTTATACTGCCATTATGTACTACTTTTTTACATTTTCATAGAATAATTCTTTTTTTACGTAAGTAATTCTTTTTTTACGTAAGACTATCGTGCCATTCTTAGATAGTTCTAGGCAAATTGATTTAAATAAAGGACGTACTAAAAATTATCAATAAAGTAAATATAATATTGAAAGTAGGTGCAGAAGGTCCAAATATAGCAAAACTTGTATAATGTAAACTTATTTTTAATGGTGCTAATTCTCATTGTATTGTAAAAATTTCTCGATTTTTTGTATTACTTGTTATGTGTGATGAAATCAATAAAAACAAAAACGTATCAATAAACGGTGATGTAATTAAGTAATTTTAATTTAAACAATTTGCCAGAATATCACTTCATGAATAACAACGACGATGAAAAAATGATATTGTGGTGATTTAGCGGGGCATTTATTTTTAATTGTTAAAATATTACTCTGTACATACATTAATAAATGCCTTCCAATGTGCATTACTTGTAATTAACATATTTAAAATGCATTTTCAATAACCGAAGACAATAAATATTAAATACCGAACAACTTGGTTTTATTTAAAAAAAACTTGAAATCTTGTAACAAATATTTATACAAAATAAACAACTTTATTTAATCACTAGACATTTGGTATATTTACGATATTTATCTTTACGCTACAAAAAGTATTTTTGGCAAAAATTATACAAATTTATTATTTTAACTTAAAAAAAATATATGTAAGGCATCAGGTGCCTCTTTAAAGTTAAGTACGAAAGTTTAACAAACTTTAAAACTAATTAGCTTTATCCATGGTAACAAAACAATGTATATTATGGTGTCTGTTATTTCCCAGTTGGGTGTGTTTACTTGGGTATTTTGTAAATTATTTGTTTCCACTCTGCCTAAAACAAGTTTAACAAAAAAATCATAACTCGACAAACTCGTAATAAGAAATACTTTATGTTTATATTAATTAACTTTTGTGGGCACAAAATTCAAGATTCAAGATTCTAAGCGTTCGTAGAGCACGTTTTGTTTCGTTTTGTTTTGATTTAAATTAAATTATTTAAAACTTTTGACTGATCTTTTATAGTTTTTGTCTCGATTAGTAAAATTTCTTATTTAATTATTGTGGGGAACACACTAAGGTAGATTTAACAGTTTTTATTAAGCAAATTTTATATTTTGAAATAATAGATTGCATAATTCTTTAATTAGAGACGCGGTTTAAAAATTTAGAATTACTTTTAAATCTCACTGCAGACCCACAATTTTACGACCAAATAATAGATAAATTTGCAAACTTAGACGTATAGATTTAATTTACAAAAAGTAGCTAATAGTATTTTATATTTTTTAATACTTAGGTAGGGGTCGACTTTTTAGTTTTATTTTTATTTTTTGATTAATTTATTTATTTTTAACTGTTTTAAGAATATATTTTTAAGTTTTAAGATTAAAAGTAGTCTTTGATGTGATATTTTATTTGTTTTGTTTTTAGACTTTATTTTTTTAGTAGGGCTATCGGCGATGACCTCCATTTTAAAAAAGGTCAACGCGTCGCAGAATAATACCTCCCGGGTGACGTGGAAATTTATTTGTATTTAGACAAAATTAACCTTATGTAGCCTCACCCTCCTGTACACCCACGAGCCGCCACTTCCATACACCTTATTTAATTTGTGTAACAAAGTGTGAGTCTGAACGGTTTAACTTAACTAATTGTTTTTTGTCTTCAGACGTAGACATGTGTAAAATATTCGGTTAATTCGAGTTTAAAAGTTTGGAAAAGCAGTGTAAATATGAAGAACCCAAATTTGTTCCTGCTTGTGGTCATCGGCCTTATTAAAAATTCAGGTAAAATATTTTGTATTAGTTTTGTTTATTATTTTGTCTTTTATTAATTATTTATTTTAATTTAATTTTTCAAGATCGTATATTTTTAATTCATTATAGTAACAAAAATATTTTTCATTTCAAATATTTATTTTAATTTCTATATTTATTTGGTTTCTGTTTCTTTAATAAATTTTAATTCTTGTTGCAAAAATGTTATATTTTATTTTATTTAATAATTAAAAAATTACCATTATTATTATTATTATTAATTACAAAATTTTTAACTTTTTATTATTCAAAGGGTTGTAATTTTTTCTCCACAAACCTATGTCATCTTAAAAATATACTGAAAAAAAAATGTGGAAAAATATGTTGTAATGTAACAAAAAGCGTTTTTTCTTCGTATGCGACCCCCTTTAACTTTTTTAATCTAAAAGTGTGGTTATGTTTGTAGTAAAAAATATTTTTTTTTTATGTATAAAAAAATGGAAAATTGATAAATATACAGGAAAAATCAAAAAGTTTATTTTTTTTTCAATGAATCACCCTATATATGAATTTATTTTTCGATTTCTTGTAAAATTCTGAGCATAATTCATATAACAAACCATATACCTAAATTCAACCGTTTCTGAAATATTCGCATTCAAAAAATGATAGAAATCAAGAAGCCTCAGTATACCAAAATTTTTATTGAAAATAAATTACTATAGTGACTTTATGTCAATATGTCTTGAGTAAAAAGTAAAAATGACGTACTCAGACAGAGAAAGACAAACTATTTCAACTTATTATCTTAAAAATAATTTAAATATTTTAGAAACGGTTGAATTTAGGTATATGGTATGTTATATGAAATATGCTTAGAATTTTACAAGGAATCAAAAAATAAATACATATATAGGGTAATCCATTAAAAAAAAAATAAACTTTTTGTTTTTCTCTGTATATTGATCAATTTTCCAATTTTCTTTATAAGTAGAAAAAAAGTATTTTTTAGTACCTACATAACCACACTTTTAAATTTTTTGGGACACTTAAAATAAAAAATTTAAAAGGTGGCGACATTATACCCAGGTAACCAAACGTGACTAACATTTTTAAATGTGACGTTAACGTGGCCAATATCTTAACTATAAAGTTGTGACCTATATA